TCTATATAATATATAGTATATATCGATTCTAATGCGTATTTAAATATATTTGAAACCCTTCACTGCACGGAAAGATAAGAGACGTTGGAGAAAATCACATAGGAATACCGAACATATATATACGAAAATACATACATATGATAAATAAATGTGTCTGTTATAGATAGTACTTATCTATAACGGACACATTCGTATAAATAAGTACTAAGAGCATCATGTTCATTTAAAATACATATATATCATAATTTAATGTTTAAATTCTGGCTATAAAATTTGATCGAAAGCAGATAAAAATGTACCTATAATAAGGTTTAGGTTATTGACTAAGAGATGCTCTATAATGAAAAGTATTTAAAGTCAAATATAAGTTAATTTTATAAATAAAACAAAATAAAAATGTTCTTCTTTGAATGACATCTTAACTACCCCATTAAATATCATATCAGTACCTTGGTGTCTAATGAGTTTTATGTTATTTATGATCTCGAAATAGATTTCAGTTCGCTCAGACATTTGTACAGTCTGGGAATGCCATTTCTTAAATACTCCGATAGCCAAAGTATTAAAAAACACATTTCGTTTAATTGCATTTAAATCGCAGGCCCAAACACGAGCCCAAAAAACACCTTAATAGGCCATTAAGGTGCGCGCACCGCCCCCAATCTCAAAAAAGGTTTACTTGCAATATGTGCAGGCAATAAACGTTTAAAGTTCGCATTTAACTGCAAATGATAGCCCATAAATTCTCGAAAGGTAAATTTAATCAATTATTTCGGGACTCAATTGCAATATTGATAAAATATAGGCTATCATTTACTGTCTAGCCATTCCCTTTAAAACCATTATATATATACATATACATATATATAATATACATGTATCTATATTTGTAATATCATATAAATAACTTGTATAGCAACAAAGTGGCGCCAGCTTCTTGGCATCTTGTCTGCTCCCTCCGCCTGGAGAAATCCCACTTGCCCGCTAGCTCCATAATTTTCCATTAGCTTTATTATATACTCATTTGCGCAAATGTCTTATATCATTGTTATTAGTAAATCTTATGCCTATGATTATTGCTTTTCTAAGTCTGTGTGCGTGTGTCAGTGTGCTCTTGTGTGTATCTTCGATAAGCTCCCTCAAAAACAGCTCCATCAGACACATTTCCTTTGGGGATATGGCGCAAGGTTGTTGAACTCTGCCTTACGGTTTTTGGGGTCAGTTGGCAAAATGTGTGGATAGTTCAGCAAGCAAAATAAAATAGCCGCGAAATGGCATTACGAATGCCTACTTAGGGGTTGGCTGTGCCCTAAATGAAATTTCGTCTTGTTTTATCTGATAATTTTGATATATATTTCGACGAATATATCTTTAATAAAGTTCTTTATTGTATTATAATATATTGACATAGATGGGGTATTTGTTTTTAGCGGTTTTTCAAAAGACTTTTATTATATTAAAAGGGGGTTGGTGGTTTGAAATATTAAAGGAGCTCTTTCAAGGATAAATAAATATAATTATAATTAAT